TTTTTTCAATTTAGCTTTGTTTTTTACTCTTTTAGAATAAAGGTTTAAAACTTTGTTCATTAACAAATTTAATCCCTAAATTTTGATATTTTCTATTAAAAATTCAATAGATTTTCTAATTTTAAAATGCAATTATGCTTAAATTTTTATTTATTATTTACACTATTAATTGAATGATATCATGATATATTTATTAGACCGATAATAGTTATTTGTATTTTTGCATAATTATATTCTATTTTTAATTTATAAGATTAGTTTGTTATAAAAAAAAAATGAACCTTAAATTTGAATATTTTATAAGCTTAATGCTCTTGAGTCCAACAATTGATTCAATTCTTCTCCTATCATCTATCAAAATATGGAAAGAATTGTCCGGACTCTATTTTTCGATGAGTGAAGGGGAGGGATTTCATTTTATTTATCATGCTAAAACAGGTTTAACATACAAGTTAAACAATCCTACTTTTTTTTCCTACATTATCATTCTCCTTTTTAAATATAACTTCTTTACATCTAAACATTTAAACGAGTGAGATCTCAATTCATAGAAATGATGTTTTTCTAACGATGTGTTTGAAAGTAATTTTAAACTTTTGTCATTGACAAAATCACTTCCATTGTTTGATAAATTAAAAAATTGATTTTTTAATTTTTAAAGTACATAATAATTTTTTAAAATCAGTTATTGTTAAATCTATTTTTTCAAAATCATTCCTTAATAAAAACCACTCCTTAATCAAATCAAATTGTCAAATTAATAATGCCAACACTCGATCTGGTGTTAAAAAATTATCCACATCAATAAATGAACTACAAAATCACATTTGTAGTTGGTAGCCTTATTTAACAATATAAACCAATTAAGACAAGCATAATAAAATCAAAGGTCTAAATTTTGGTACGTACAGAGACATTTTGTAGGTTAAAAAAAACACATGTAGTTCTTGCAGCGGTCTTCTCTTCCTATTACTTCGCTTCGTTTGAGTTTGAGTGATCTGATCTCATATTTCGTATATCAGAAAAAGGAACGATGAACTCTAATTTGTAATGATTTAATTCATTTACTTACATATTGATAACAATTTAGTCTACATAGTATAAATTTTGTAACGATTTATTCCATACCATGAAAAATCTCATTAAAACTAAGTTTAGATTTTTCTAATATAATGATTCAAGCTTTGTCATTTATAAATACATTTGTTCCTAGTTTATCATCATATAAGAAATCTTAACCAGAAAAAAAAAATTCATGTTAGAGATTATTGTTACCAAGTTTAAACTACAAGGATTAAATTGTTACATACTAAAATTCAAAAAATAAATTGTTACCCATTTAAAGATACATAAACTAAATGATTACTTCAATGAAATTACAGTGACAGAAAGTGTCTTTTATCCCATTTTGTAATAGCCAATAGGCATGACATTATTTTCTGGAACCCTACCTTGATTGATACACTTGCTTTGGATTGAAGTTAAATACATATCGTTCCTATACAATCAAATGGTATAATTTCTAAAATCCAACCATCTAGCCCTGGGAAAACATAGATGCAAAAAAATACATTTCTATTTGATCTTAGAAATAAGTACGAGGCAGCTAACTTTTGTCTAGATTTCAGCTTCTTTTCTTCTACCTTAAATCTCTTATACCATTAAATCAAAAAAGATAAGGATAAAGAAATACCACCAGTCTATCGAAGGTATGGGCAAGAGCTGCAGTAGCCAAGTCGGGAAACCGTGGAACTTTGTTGGAGCCCGACGTTGCTGGGGATGAAAATGCAGTCACATTTTAACATATGAGGAAAGCTGCGATGGGTTGGTGCCTGGTTTTTCTGGAGATGCTTGCATGTTGATTTTTATTCTGCATTCAGCAAAATTCCCTATTATCTTTGTGACCATCCAACAGGAACATCAAATGAATCCATAAGAAATATGTTTTACAAGAACAAAATGTAATCCAATTCCTTATATCCATATTGATCCACTCTCGGCAAGAAAGCAAAACGATGCACAAGTTCTAGCCAGGCTAGCTATATGTTGCTATAGCGAAACAGGTAGACATAAAGCATACAAGTGCTTTTATTAAGCTAGGGAGACCGACACGTACCTGTTGTGGATATTGACATACTCATCTGTTTCGTCTAATATCTCCTCCTGACAAGATGATTATATGATACGTAAGATCAACATTGAATAACAGTGCTGGCAGAACTAACCTCCCAACATTGTAAACCATGCTTAGTTGCAAGTTAAAGAATTTGTCATCACCTGAAGAAGTTCTTCAATCACATCCTCCATAGTAATGACACCAACCACCTCTTCACTAGGTGGAAAAATGGGAAGAGGTGCATTTTCGACATCTAAAATGCAAAATGAACAACCTTTGTGTCGTTTTTTAAACGCAGGAGTAGCTGGTGGACTTTTCTTTATCTGTTGGCCTCCACCCTTTTCAGCTGTTGTTTGAGCATCAACTGATTCCAGTTTCATCACTAAGTTTTGAGTAGCAGCATCAGCACCAGAGTCAACTCCATTGTCTGAGAATCAACCAGGCAGGAAAAGGGTATGTCAAAAGTAACAAACGAATAAGATATGTTCACAGCAAAAGGAGCACAACTAAGAGCATTTCATGTGAAGCCCTATAATTGGTGGATCTAGACAGTTCCAAGGAATTTGGACCTCAAGAACATGAGTAAATACGAGTTCAATGCTAGACGAAGGTGTAGAACCTTCCCAAATTTGGATGAGAAATATCATGACTATAAAATCTGAGCCTTAAATAAATGGATAGCATACAAACAAATTTTAAGATCCCAAACCCTCCTGCCCCAAACATAACTGAATAGTTTATTTGTTCGCAATTACTTTCTTTGTTTATCCAATTAATATAAAATTTCTGCTTTGCACATTCTCACCTTTTTTCAGCAATGCCTCAGATTGGTAACCATGTTTCTTGAATACCACAGCAATGTGACTATGCCCCTTTTGAAATTCATTTAAAATGTCATATAGAGGCATGTCTTCAGAAACCCTGCAGTAGTTGAGGAAGAAAAAATAATAAAGCTTTTTTCCAGGTCCAAAACTGCCAACAGGTCATTTCATCTAAATGCATAAAGATACAAGCAATGAATATTCTCATACCGTGGAATTTTTCTAATAATCATTTTTTTGAGGGAAATTCTATCGTCTGGATCAACAGTCAAAAGATTTTTAACCTGAAAAATGTTAAAACGATGAACAAATGAGCAGATGCTCGATGGCATGAACTATACCTTAAGTCTGAGTATCATAATATGACACAATGATCACGCACCAAATAAAAATATATATATTAATCAGGAAATTTAAAATAAATAAATAAAAAGCAACAATTTCATCAACTTCCGCTCACTCCAATGAACAGATTGAGAAAAATATGCGAAAGCAACCTCCATTCCCACATTAGAGGTATGTCGCCTATGTCATTTAAACTAGTGATGTCTGTCCAATTAGGCTCAAGGTTGGTGTTTCTAATTTGAAAGAACTCAGCTTGGCCAAGGCCCTCTGTTTTCCTATTCATTAGTCTGCAGCCCGGCAACTTAGGCCACATGCTTAAACTCCTTAGTCCAAAAACACGGTAACAGTTCTATTTTACTAGAAGAGTTTGTTTATTCACAATGCAGAGCACTTCAGTTTTGCATGTAAACAGCCACCCTGATTTTGAAAAATGAAGCAAGAGGGACCTGAGAACTCCCTCTTAGCCATTTCTCAATTTTATTCTCAGGTCTCCTTATCCTGCTACATTAGAAGGTGATACAATAGAGAGAGCAAGAAAGAGGATTCATTTCAACCTATCATGTAATGTTATTGTTTATAACAGCTAGGGATGATGCAAGTGAATTACCAGAACTAGTCCAATTATATTTTTTGGATCTCCAGAATATACAGGAACTCTGCTATGCCCTTTCGTCATTATAGCATTGAGTGTATCCCTGCCATATACAGAAGGGGCTTTAGAAAAACGGAAAAATGATATTAGACAGACATACAAGAACTGGAAGAAAGAAAAAACCCACAAATCAAGAGTCGCATCCAGATCAAGGGAAAATGCATTTGATATAGGAGTCATGGCATCTTTTGCTGTCTTTTCAGTCAATTCAAGTGCCCCAGCAATAATAGTAGTCTCGTCGTGAGTTAAATCTCCACCTTTTCCAGCCTAAGACAACATATATTTTAGACATGGCAAATCCATCAAATAATGGTGATTGGAGCAGAAGGAAAATTCAGAGCACACAAGATAAGGATAATGTTCCGTTAGAGCACTCAAATACTAGAATATTAACTCATGCAAATGATCCCATGAGCACATCCCCAAGTTGATTACCTCATTGCCATGAAAGTTCACAAATGTCTTGAGCTCTGCTCTCCTTAAGAGGACAGCGTGCCCTTTACCCAACATCCAATCAAGAACCTGAATTTATTTTTTTAAAAAAAAAAGATGTAAAAGAAACTAAATATCATGTATATATGGCCTATAGCACTATTATTGGCTACCTGCAGTTAAATAAGATATTCAAATGAGCATCCCAAATATCATGTATATATGGCCTAAAGAACTATTATCTTATCAGTCTCAAACTTTAATTTTCATTTCCATGCTTGAACTTAGAAGAGGTGTAAGGGAATTTTACCTTACTAATTGGATATGAAATGGGAAAGAATAACATAAGAAGAATGCGAACAAAAGGTGCCATTATTGCTCCAACTTTCAACCCATAACGAGTACAAATCGCTTGTGGCAATATCTGCAGTCAAGTCTACGTCACATTAACCCAATAATATCCAATGGCAAAAACTATTCTCAAACTGGTGTGATCAAAAGTACCTCTCCGAACATGAGGATTAGAGTAACTGAAACAAGGATAGCTGCCCAAGGAGGTACAATCTTGTCCAAGAATATCGGAAGAGCCTACAGGGGACACATACAACATCATTAAGTTTACACTTAGAAAATTATGTAGACTCCACAAACAGAGATGTGCAAACGTTTATATAGTTACCTCCATTGCTAAAGAGTTACCAATCAAAAGTGTGCAGAGAAGCAGATGCTGATTCTTTACCACTGGGAATATCTTAGCTGCCAAAGAAATCATAACATTACTACTCTAGGTGATCCCATGGGTATGAAACATTTCGCTTAAGCTTCTAAAACTCCCCCAATCCTACTTAGTACTCTCGGTTCATAGGCACGCGCACACTACTACCTAATTCCCAGATCCTAACACGGAATTGCATAATTCAATGTACAGGTCCTTCAGCTGCCGTGTGGTTACTTAAAATAATAACAGTAATTTTTACAGGTAACTAAAATGTTCTTGAAAAGTTTCAAGTGACAATACGGAAATCGTCGGGATTCAAGTTTCTGGCCACAGATACGAAATGAATTTCCATAGTTGCGGGAGGTGATAATAGAGATTACCGGCGTGTTTGCGATCCTGAGGGCGGCCGGACTTTATAAGAACTTCCAGGTCAACGAGGCCGAGAGACATGAGACCCAAAGTGAGCCCAGCCATCAGTCCAGCGAAGGTCACCAGACCTACGATTGCCAACATGTACAACCAGAACTCCGGCTCGCAACTCCGGACATCTTCTGCCATAGCTCTCTGTAGAAGAAGATTTGCAGTCGCCTTTACGGCTATCGGCGAAGAAGATGATTGGGAGCAGCAGCAGCCACAGCCGCACAGGTTCTTTGGCTTCTCCTTTTTCGAGAGTAACACGAATTTTCCTCGAAAATCGATGGGAATCGCAGTCTGCCACTGACAGAATAAAATTTTTCTCTGTAGCAGAGGAATTCCCCTTCCCTCTAAAAAAGCGCTCGCACAACCCAAACAGTAACACATGTACTCCAAAAAGAAAGAAATAGAAACGACGCTGACGTCGGGCCCACGCCCCTGACTTTGCGATTAATGACACGCGCTTCGGCCCGGCGGTTTCTGACCGTCCGATTGGGATAAGTTTGGAGGATGCGAACATATTCGCGGCTGGTAAAACTTTGATCCCTGATGACGGAGTGGGTCCCACTGCATTCCAATTTCCAAGATGCAAAATTGTTCTTGACGACTTCTTGCCATTGCCAGTGCTAACCGCTAATTACTACGATTCTCTAATAAATAATAATAAATGATCGTGGACTAAAATTCCGCTTGATGTCTTCAGCAATCAACATTAATGTTTAAAGAGATTTTTTCTTTATAATGTTGTTGAGATGTCAAAAATATCATAGGATTATAGTACTATATATTGGTAAGTAACAATGATGCTATCTTATAATTTAGTTCATCCATAATTGATACTAGATTAAATCTATTTATTCAAAATACTGAAAAAAGAAAAAAGAGAATTTTCATTAAGAAAATGACTGCGTATCTATTGCTTTCTAGATGCACATGCAAGAAACAGCAATCTTCAATATTTAGGACTTTTGATTGGAGGCCATGGCCAAACTCGTTCAGCTCCAAAAATGGCAGGAGCTCAACAAATAGAATTCCTGCTGTCCCAATAAAGAAGTCTAAACCAGTAGCTTGATTTCGCCCACTACAGCTTTTGCCAGTAGTTAACTTCAACCCATCACCAGTAAGCGAGATCCAAGAGGTTTCCGGTGGACGCCTTATGGAGGTTGGGCTCTGGAAGATCAATAGCTGAAATGATTCAATCACTCTTTGCATTAACATCCAGAATTTGATTGTTTGATAGTGAGTAAGTTTTAAACTTTGTTACTTATTAATAATTATTACCATCTTTAAAATTTGCGGTTGGATTTTATCCTGAAAAAGAAATCTTGAAATTTTGTTTATAATAGGTACAAAAGAAGATAGAAATACATGTTTTTTTAGTACAACAAGTGGGTTGGAAATATCCGAACTCATGACCTCCTGTTAGAGACAAATGCTAATTACCGTTAATTAATCTCGTGTTCGCAAAATATAATATACATACATACATGTAAGGGAAAAAATATATGATATATATATCGATACATATACATACATACATGTGCATACGCATACATATATATATATATATATATATGCGAGTGAAAAAAGTACGTGTTTTTTATAACCATGCAACTTTAACAATTTTGTATTTAATGATTGATATATATATATATATATATTTACTTTTATTGATAAAAATAAAACAAATAAATAGATTTCTCAATATTTAAATATCAATAGAAAAAAAAAAGACAATTTATTCTCTTGGTTTTTCTTTTTTCAGGGATTGGTATATAGCCAACAACAAGGTTGTACTCTAAAATACAACATTGCCTCTTAATATATATACACAACATTGAGAACTTTATGAAAATATTGGAAACAATTTAATCAATCTAATATTAATGGTTAGTCGTTTTACTGCTTTAATGTTCCATACTATTTTGAATAATACTTACCTCCCGATCAATTTGACGGCTATTATATTTTTGAAATAATAAATGATCATCTTCTCTGTTTTCATTTTTACTCGTCAAAAGCATGGTGGTGGTCAGAACTCAGAGATGGAGATGAGAGAGGGATAAACGGGTAAGTATTTTCTACTATTTTCTTCCCTAAAAGCTATTTAAGAAAAATACTTATACCAGATAAATTTGATGCACAAACGGTAATATCTTTCATTAACAGCAAAAATAATCTGTAAATACAATCTTAAATCCCTACTGATATTATTCTAAAAGTTCCCCCTACAACATAGATTTTCACCCATTACTATTATTACTTATTTATTGACATAAACAAAATGGCAGTTGGTAAAGCATTCTGTTCCATACCAGGTGGATGAACCAATAGCTTCCCACTGATTTCCTGCCATTTCAATCCAAAAGCAATCAATCCATTGTAGGAGAACTCAAGCTTTACAGTCTCAAAGCTCTTAGCTTTGCTTTGGAGCAGCAGCCTTCTCCCAGATGAATGATACCAGATTATCTTGATCTGACGCACGCCTGAGGATAGGAGCTTGCGCTCTCAACTCGGCATTGATTCGCAAGCTACAGCAGTCTTGATCATGAACACGAAACTCCGTGAAAATGTTCAATCTTGCCTTTCAACATCTCGAAATTCTCCTGGTTCAGGGACTATTTCATTGGAGCTTACTCTTCCTGGTTGTTTCGGTCCACTGCCACTTTCTCTATTTACATCTGATGAGCTGTGCCCCCAGCTACCATGAAAAGCAGCACTCCAAGATCTTCGCGATGATGTCGCTCGCAACCTTCCAGAGCTGGAGCTTTCATCCCTGACTACTTTCAAAGGATTTTCCAGCGCTTTGAGGACGTATCTCATGAGAGGCCGTCTAGATGGCTTCGGGTTCAGGCACGACTTGGCGATAATCGCCATTGCCCATACCTCTTCCAAAAGATCGTCATCAATCATCAATGACGGATCAACTATCTTTGTTACGTGTTCCTTATCATGGATGCTTATGTTAGGTAAGGTGTGTTCCAACCACTCCTTTGTTGTAGCATCTTCGGTTTTGCTGATACCAAGCTTTCCTGTGACAAGTTCTAGCAACACTTTACCAAAACAGTAAATGTCTTGAGAACAGGATGCTGGTGAGGAGCCTGCATATACACAACAAACAGAAAATCATTAAGTTGAAAGAAACACGACATTGATTACTAAATAGTTAATTTTGTCTGCTGTTCTAATACTAAGAGTTATACCAAACTGCCAGCCAACCAAATTATTACAGCAAAAAACCACCGTGAGAATCCACAGTAGCTATTGAAGTCACTTTTTTCTTCAGTTAGCTGTGCCTAAAATGGAGTATTGTTTGTTAGAAAGGTAAGGGATGCAAATTATGGTTAATTCGTTAGGGTAAGGTTGATGCGGTAATGACGAGACTCCAGTCTTCAGGCTTTGCGTATTTACATTACTTGTTTATTATCTATGAATGAAATACTGAAAAGAAGAGGAAAGCTCAGAAGAAATACGCACCAGAAGAAGATTGTTCAGAGCTTCTGCACAATAGAATAAGAAGCTATTAGAATTTTGATTAAATAATAAATAAAAGAACTTAAGCTGCAAGCCAAGAAGATTTTGACATAAACTAGTAAATATAATTGGCTAAATGATTTAAAATAATTCAAAGTCAGAGATCAAAGATCTCAAAGAACTGAACATGTTAACTGTAGAAGGTTACTTTAAGACATCGATGGAAGGGTATAATATACAACTGTGACAATTCTCTATGACATCTATGAAGATTAATTAAACACTCATCTAATACCACTTATTAGACACGTGATAAACAGAGCATTCTCTATTTCATGATTTATTGTTTATCCACGAAAATTAAGCACTTATGTCTGCACGTCTACTTAGAGTGACAACATCATGAAATAGACATCATGCAATAATAATAGCCACACAGCATGCTTAATGCTTCTACTGTCATGAACTACACCTCATCATCTTAATAAAAATAATGTTACCTACTTGGCACTAACTCAAAAAGACCCAACTTGTTTATGCTAAGAAATATGATTGAAGGAACTGCAAACGAGGGAGGATCCTATTCTTGAAAAATCAATTAAATTCAGATTTCGACAAAAAAAAAGAGGGTTGGGGTGGGGAGTTTGTCTGTATTTTGAATCTGGAAAACCATTATTCTCAAGATACATACTGTGACTTTCGCCGCAATCTCGTGAAGACATTTTGGTGATGATCCCCTTCAAGGACACAGGCCTCACTCAAGCTTCCAAGACGCACTTCAAATTTGTCATCAAGGAGGATACTGCTTGCTTGAATTTCTCTTCAAGCATTTAAGAAAAGAAAAGTCAATACACAGTTTGTATACAGAATAAACTGGAGGACATATGGCATTACAGCCAGATGCCAACTACATAGAATGAATCTTAACGTTCTATTCTAAAGCTAACGCCCTCAATATAACTGGTCAAAGGCCAAATAACGATGTCTAGTACTAAAATTTTTTTATTAATTTCATTAGATAAGAATCTGAAGAATTGGAATATTTCACAAAACCAGAATGCAATATAATTATTATTATTTATTTATTTTGAAATGGGGATTCTAATGAAAGCTTGTCGATCGATACCTGTGGACGAGAGGAGGGTTACACTCATGATGCAGGTGAGACAGGGCCTCAGCAGCTCCTATGGCTATTTTCAATCTGATAATCCAATCCAGGGACTGCACATTATCATCTTCTGAACTGGAAACCTTCTGCAAGCAATTAGCCAAGTCCCCATTTGGCATACATTTGTACACCAAGAGCTTCTCATCCTCACGCTCGAAGCAGTGCCCCAAAAATGGAACAAATCTCATATGCGATACTTTGCTGAAAAAGTCTAGTTCCAGAGAGTACGCTTCATTCTTTAAGTACTGCAAATTTACCTTTTTAATCACTACAGGAAGGCCACCCTCCAGGAACCCCTTGTAGAGATCTCCAGAGTGACCATGTTTTATAATATTTTCTTTGCTGAAATTCCCAGTACTCTGAAGCATCTGCTCATAAGTGAATGAATCTCCCAGACCAGCAAAGTAGACTGGATCCTTTGGAAGTGAAGGGCTGTCTCCCTCTGGAACTGGACCAACATTTGCTTTCCCTCTCTTATTTGAATTACCTTTGCCGAATAATTTCAAGAACAGTACCAGGATTAGCACCAAAACAATAACAAGGCCAAATCCACCAAATATCCCCACCATTATGAACTTCAAGCGATTGTTGTTATTAGGATGACGCTCTAGTTCATCTGGAGTCCCCTTTTGAAGACCATCAAAATGTAAGCTTCTCTGAGCGTAGAAGAGGCTACAATCCTCGAGAGTTCTTTGATCTGGCACCTTATCCAGGCAATTTCCACGAAGAAAAGCCTTGATTTTACTCTTTACATCACCTTGGAAATAGTTTCCAGATAAATCGATTGACCCATTCAATTTAGGTGATAAATGTAGAGGACCATACAGAACATTATTTGAGAAATTGAACACAGCAGTAGTGTTTCGAACAAAACTTGGCAAGTTACCCGTAAAGTTGTTGTTGGATGCATCTAGGAACCACAATTTAGGTCGTGATAACAAGTCACCAGGTAGACCGCCATCAAGTTTATTTCCTCTCAATACCAAAACTTCTAACTGAGCAAGACTTGGAAACAAACCATCTGGCAAAGGACCCTCGAAGCCATTATCTCCAATATACATCATTTTCAAACTCCTTAACCCCCTCAGATCCACAGGAAGCGCACCCGTCAGTGAATTCCTGCTGAGATCAAGCACCAGTAGTTCTGATAGGTTGCCCAGTTGACTTGGTACAGAGGATGTCAAACTATTGTCCGAAAGATTCAACGATTGCAGTTTACTAAGAGTACCTAAACTGGGTGGAATCGGTCCAGATAAATAATTTGAGGCAAGTTCAAGCCGGGTAAGATTATTAAGAGATGAAAGGCTGGGAGGTATTGACCCAGTGAGCAGATTTCTCGAGAGATCAAGAACAGATAGCTGTAATAACTGTCCTAATGCAGAAGGCATAATACCAGTAAGACTGTTATCAGATAAATAAAGTTTAGTGAGCTTACTTAAGCTGCCAATAGAGGAAGGTATTGGGCCAACAATCGAAGAAGAGCGAAGATCAAGCACTTGGAGCGCAACAAGAGACTGGCCGAACCAGTCTGGAATAGAGCCAGGAAGCAAAAACCCAGAGGCGTTAAACGAGACCAAGGAGGTTAAATTGGCAAGCGCATCGACGGCGAAACGAGGGCTGAGTCGCCCATTATGAGTTCGTCTAAGACCTGACACAGTGATCCCAACAACGCGTCCGGCTTTGCACTTAACTCCGGTCCAAGCGGAACAGGGGTTTTCTTTTATGGCCCAATCTTTCCCTCTTAACCCTAACGATGATCGGAGACTGAGTAACGCCGTCCGCTCAGTGCTGGAGTTCAGAACTTCCGGCTGACCTAACCCACACTGAATTAAGAACAATAATATAGCTACCTCAAGCAGATATCGCCGGCGAGCTTGAACTTCCATCGCCGTCGGATAGTGTGGAAGAAACATAGGAAGCTCACAGAGGATTTAGAAGTTTCGTTTCCGTCTCCATCGTCTTCGAGCACCACTAAAGAACAAAGTTGAGCAACTTCCAGTTCACCAATTGAACGCCGTATTAAATATCACCTCCAATCACGAGCGATGATTCTAAGTCCTTCTCTGAACCGCCATAAATGCCGACCCAAAATCACCTAAAGAAAATAATGATACAATAATATATTTCACTTCCGCTGGGTGAATTCTGTTTCAATCCACAACTCTACTCGAAAATCTTGCCCAATAAACACACGCACACAAACGGAAAGAGAGAGAGAAAGAGAAAGGCAAAGAGAAGGCACGGGCTACTAAATGACCGAGAAAGTGAAAGACGCCGAATGTCAATAATGGCTTCGAGATTAAAGAACAGGCAGTTGGTTACAGCGGATTTCGGGATCTTTTACCCAAGTTTACTCAGAGCTGCTCGGGGAAGAAACTTTCTGAGTTTCTGGTACAGATTTTCCACAGGCTAATTTAAGGACTCATTATCACATTCACAGCACACAGAGCACACAGTAATCGTAATAAAGAGAGACAGAACGCCATTGTTAAACAATTGAAGCTGCTCCATTGCAATTCAAAGATAACCTTTTAACTTTATTTGAATTTTCCTTTTCCAGAGGTGGACGGGAAGAAACTCCGATAAAGAAAATTCCAAACCGACTTTGAACACCGTGCGATCGTCTTCGTTGCCAATTACAATACCTACACTCGTTGCGTCGGAAATTACATATGGAAACACCAAATTAATACGCAAAATCCGTATGGAGTGATTTTTTTTTTTTTAACAATTATGGAGTTAGAATTAAAGAAGTAAATTATTGATTTTTCTTTTTGTTTTTCCATAGATGACAGAGAATTGGGATATATCTGCTTTTTTAAAATTTTATTTGAAGATAAACTCTTACTGGTACTAAATATATTATTTAATATAAATTAATCATGGTCTATGTATATAATAAATAACAGTGGCAATTATTTTCCTTAAAATATGGTAATTATTGATTTGAATATTGTATTTTAATTATTATTAGACCCTGTTCAATAATTATCTGAAGACATTAATATTTTTTCTTTTAGAGAACTTGATGATTTTTTTAGTACAATTGAACTATTGAAGACATTTTTTTTTATATTGTGGTCCAACTATTGAAGATATTAATGTTTGTTACAAAGAAAAATTGAAGACATTGATGTTAAGTGCTAATAATGTTTTTATAATTACGAAAAGTTTCTTTTACGAAGGTAGTGGTCACTTGTACTAAAAATTAAAATAATAATAATAAATAGATAAGTAGTGGTTACTGTGCATTAAAATTTAATATCCTTAAAAAACTTCTTGACATATAGACTTTTAAAAATAACATAAAACCATCCTTTAGTAAAATCATATTATTGTCTTGTTGTAATTTACCATAGACCCTTTTTTTTCTTTTGGAAATATCGTAGTCAGTAAATTTAAATCATGTCATAATTCAAAAAGTTACATTTTTTTTCCAGGAAAAGAATCCTTCTCTACCCCTAAAGTTGGTACGTTGTACCAATTTTCACCTAAACTTTCAATCTTATCCAACTCAGCCATATACTTAAATAAGTTGCAATTTTTACTCTAGGTTGGATTTCCTAATTCACCCACCAAAACTTACAAATTTATTAAAAAAATGTCTAAATCTCATTAAGTTGATACAAAATATATAGTTATAATTCATTTTATACAAAGTGGGAATAATTTTTTCTCAACAAATTTTCAAACAAAAATCTATCAAATAGTAAAAATTGCAATAATTTTTAAAGTTAATGATGAAAAAATTGTAACATCGATCAAAATTTAAGATGCAATTTGATGAAATTGAAATTTTGAGTTACCGTAGATATTTTATTACAATACATAAACAAAATATTTTATTTTAATTTATTGAAATTTTCGCTCAAAACTAATTTTAGTCATTTTCATCAACTTATTTACAAATGGATTAACAGAAGTAGTGAGTATTAGATTTCAAAGAATATTCAAATGGTTAAATAGTCAATAAGTACTAAAGTTTACAAACTAAAACCTAATATTCAAAAGTTGTTAAAAACCAAAATAAAAGGAGTAAATATCAAAATGGGTTTTAAATGAGTTATATATTGTACTTTTTGAAATAATTTGTTATTTTTAATTACAAAAGTTTGTTTTAAAAAATGTTGTAAAAAAAACACACAAATAGTTGGTTTTGTTTCTAAGAATAATGTATTATTTTATAAAGCATGTACTGCAACAGTTTGAAGAGTCATCTATGGACAACATTAAACTAAAGGACGAAAGTGGGTGGGCAGAAAGCGACCGGGAGAAGGACTGAACATGACGTGGCAATTTTCTACGCGGGTCCTCCAAACGAATTACGCAACTTCCGTTTTTATTTTATTTGTGTGCTGGCCCGTTATGCTGTTCTGCAGATTAGACACTAATCATTGAATTTTCTTCGGTGGTTGCCTCTTTTTTCTCCCAAGTGGTTTCTTTAAGCAATTCTCTTAACATTTTAATCTTAACTACTTAAATTATGTTTAGAATCGCCAAATGAATTATTACGAATGGGTGATGTGAATTAGGTAAATCTTGAGTCTATCATAATCACTAATGATGAGTACCAAATGATTAAATTAAACCTTTAAATTAGGTTAAAATGCTATTTGAGTTCTTTACTTTCAATTATAGTTTCAATTCATTTTGGTTAATTTACTTTCAAATGTTCATTTTGATATATGTACTTTTGGCTTTAATTCATTTTGATTACGTATTTTTAAAATATTCATTTTGGTTCTTGAACTTTTGAAAAGTGATTGTTTTGATATTTAGTTTCAAAATTTTAATACAAACTCTACACATAACGGAAACTCTTTAATATGAATCAATGATTAAATATATTGACTGTAGTTTCATGTTGAAATTATAATATATAAAATTAAGGGACCAAAACGATCACTTTTAAAAGTACAGAGACTAAATGAGCGCTTTGAATGTACGTTGATTAAAATGAATTAAAATTGAAAGTACACGGACCAAAATGAACACTTTAAAAGTATAGGGACCAAAATTGACCAAAACTAAAAATAAATGAGCTAAACTAGTATTAAAAGTAAAACATAAAATTAACATAAATATTTGAAACAATAGGATTTATCATTTTCTTTCAAATTCCAACATGGTATAATTTAAGTCCATTAGGTTGTACTAAAAAAGAAAAAAAAAAGTCCATTAGTATTTTGCTATTTTTTATTTTATTCTCTATTATTTAAATATTTTCAATTTAGTTGTTTTAACATTTTTTTAATTTAATATCTCGATGAGTGTTAAAATTAATATATAGCAAACTTACCTATATAATACTTAACGATGAAAATTTAGAGGAGAAAAAAAGTTACAAGGTGAACAACAAATCAAAATTTCTACCAAAATTTGGTGGAGAAATTAAAATTCTTTCTCTGTTATATGATTTCTTTTATTCTCTAAATTTATGTCGATTCACTAGGTATTATAAATGATGAGAGATTAAATTTAAAAACGTTGAAATATTAGAAATTATATTCAAACGTTTGAATATTCCAATACTGAGGGCTAACATATATATTTAACCTAATAAATATAAGAATTCCTTAAAATGTGAATAAAATTTCGTTGAAATTATTTAAAAGTATAGTTTTCTTTTAGAAATCTAATAAATACACATCTTCTGGGGGGTTGAAAATTAAAAATCGAAATGAATTTATTTATTTTTGTAAAATAAAAATTGAAATGACTTGATTGGCTCAGGTGTGGTCAAATACCCCACCACTAGCAACATAGAGTCAAATGGATCGACCATCCAACGTGTAACGCATTCCCTTCTACTTGTCCTAATCACGCATTGTGTCCTACGTGGCCCCTCTAGCCACATGTTGGTTGCTACCTTCCAACAGTCGTTTGTTTGGAAAAAATATTGAGTGCTACGAGGGTATGTAAATATTAAATTCTATTTTTTTTATTTACTGCCACATCAGCACTATGTTAGAAATTATGTAAAATTCTTCAATATTAAAAAAAGTTCATTACAAGAGTAAATAAAATTAGTACCATAATTGTCAAAACAAATATAGGTCAGTAATAATTGGTATATAAGTTTGTGAGTTCGATCCTCCATCCTAATATGTTGTACTGAACAAAATTAGTACCATATTTTTAGCCGTCTGATTGTAACAACAAAATTTTCATGACAATTTTCGATAGAATTTTAAAGAGGTTCACGGCTGTGGAATTAAAAAAAAAAGTAGAAAAAAAGGGCATAATCTGACTTGGTCTTTCCATGCAGAGTGTAAACGCATGTGGGCAATGAATGCCTAATTTTATTTTTATCCTCATGACATCGACATGGACTTCAAATTATTGCATTGAAAAGCCGCTTAATTTACATTTTTATCCTCGACAGGTAGCTGCAATGCAACTTCGTCACTTGGCCTTTTCGGGAGTCAGCATTATGTCTTTGTTTGATGTGGAAGCCAACGTCAACTTTTTTTTTTTTTCAATTTGTCCAAAGATGCCTCGCGCCACGTTCCCAATTCAATAATAATTGTGAAATGATTTATTAAAAAAGAAAAATATATATGATTAGAAATTTCCTAACCGAACTACATATCATCGATATCTTATTATATAATATATAATATAGTTACGTGATTGTGAAGAGAAATTTGAATATGTACAGTATATTAGAGTTTGTGATGCTAATTAAATATTGTTTCGCAATATCTTAATACTAATAATAAATTATATTGTGAGCTCGATCTCCACTCCTACTCCTACATGTTATACTAAAAAAATGATAATAAATTATATATATAGGTCATACTTTCAAATGAAATATATGTATGATCATAATTAATAACGCTTAATAAATTAGTATATCCATCAATTAAGTAGTTGATGTAATTTTTAATTTAATTATTACTCACTCATGAATTAATTTTTATAATAAAAAAATATATTTATAATACAATATGTAGAGATGGTAATTCGAATCTATGACTTTTTATATCTTAAATAGAGATGAAAATTAAAACCTACATTTTTTTATCAAATATAAGTGTCTTAATCAATTAAGTGGGGATTGGTGTAATAACAATTATATTATAAACTAAAAATATATAACATATATATGTAAAATAGTAGAGCGATGTAGTTTGAGTTGGGCCTAATGTCAATTGAAGCCCAGCCCAATTATCGTCGAAGGAGTGATATTCTCGCTGATAAAAATGGGTATGGAATAAATGCTTAGGGAAACAGTTGAGAGGTTCATTCATAATCCTGTGGATGTTATTAAATATTTGCAAAAGCTAACGTCGAAATCCAATTGAATGCATATGCTCATCTATTTCGAACGTTTAAAAGTATCATTGTTATTTTTTTTCCTTTGTAAAAGTATTATTCTAATCATAAAAGTTTAAAGGTAAAAATACTAGTTTGGTCCCTATATTTTTAGCTTTTATTCACTTTAGTCCTTATACTTTTAAAATGTACGTTTTGGTCTCTGTACTTTCTATGTTCATTTTACTCTCTGTATTTTGAAAATATTCATTTTGGTCAATGTTTTTAAAAAATGCCAATTTTGGTCTTTTCATTTTATTTTAAATCTCATTTTGTAATCACAATTTCAACACTACATTATGATTAATATATTTCTTATAATGTAAACATTATTTTATACTAAATAGTTTCCGTTACGTGGAAATTTGTGTTAAAATCTTCCGAAGAGAAATAAAAATTATCCCTTTTTAAAAAGTACACCTAACAAAATGAACATTTTCAAAGTACAATGACTAAAATGAACCAAAATTAAAATATATAGACTAAAATAAACATTTTCAAATTACATGACTATAATGAACCAATCATAAAAATACAGAGAACAAAATAGTATTTTAATCCAAAATTGAAATTGGAATAATTTTTTTTTTTGACCTATTACACTTTTAAAATTTAAAAACTTCTTGTAGTTAAAGTTTTAAAAGTTTAGAACTAAACTTATAATTTAACCTAGAAAATAAAAACACTATCAGCACACGGCTAAACTTATGAAAAAACTTATTATTATAAATTGTAAAATTAAAAGAAAAAAGAAACTGAATATGACGTGGAAACTATAACAGTACTTCTCAAAGAGTTAAATTAGGCAACAAATTGTTATAAATGAAAAAATAAAAAGAGAAGATTCGTGGAGGAGAGAGAATGTTTGGATTTTGGACCGGGAATGAATGTAAATGGAGCAAAAATCCTTCATCCCTGCCCTATATGCCCCGGTCCACGGGCAGATCTTGGTGGAGCCGGAATATTTTGAACCCTCCATCGATATTATGATTAAAACATTTATAGCTTCCACATAAATAAGGGGTGACACGTCTTTATTCGTAGAAATATATTTTAATTCAAAATCTTTTAATCATAAATCTTTTAACTAAGATTATTATAAATTATAAAAATAAATTAAATTGTTATATACTAAAGTTGTTGATTCTCTTATATGAAATTTGATGGATTTTGATGAAAAAAAAAAGACCAATTATAAATAGAAATCTACGGGCACCCTCCTCATCTTATCTTTCTATTTCTAAAGAGCTAACTTCAACATTTTCAATTTTCCGTAGACTTTTTGTCTTTTCTTTGAATGTTGTTTTAAATTTGCTTGGATTTGATTCACCTGTGAAAATTTTTACCTAATTTAATTTGAATTAAATTGTTACTCAATTGTTACTAAATAAAATTGGGGAAGAAATTGTTAAGAATAGAAACGTTTTTTAACCAAACAAAAACCTCCATATATTAGTAGCCACGATTTTATTGATTTTTTTAACATACAAAATAACGATTTCAATTTCAGTACTAAAAGTATTTGAAGAAACCTGAAGTTGGTCAAAGTTCGAGAGTTCAGTGAGAAACACGTTTGATTTGCGATAAACGATAAGGATTCGAATTTTTCAGTCCCGAGGCTGTGGAGTCAAAATCGCAGTCAAATTCCGCACGGCGGCGCCATTGGTGGATCCGACGACAAGGACGCGGCCGGCGACGAGAACGGCGTCGAAACAAAGCTGAAATGCGAGTAATATAATCTGAATCTGAACCTTACTTTAGTTTGTGGAAGAAGCGCTTCATAATGAAGCACCGGAAAATTGAATCTGTCGGCCAAAGAGTGAGCGATTATTCGGCATCGGAATCGGGCACAGAGGAGCGGCCCCAATTTGCAGCGTTTGAAAATGACCGGAAAAAGGCGATGGCCTGGCCACAGATGTATATATATTCTCGTTGCAAGATTGGATTGGGATTGGATTAGACGTACGCGATAAGGATTCCCAACGTGAAATTTTGTTCAACTCAAGTAAATGCGATTCAGTTCCGCGAGTTCAATTTTCTAACGATCCAAATCCAACTTTAAGAAATTACCTGTCAACCTTCATTACGTTTGAATTTTCACATCTTTTATTTAAAAATAAATAAATAAATTTTTAGAAAGCCACTGTGATGGGTTTTGAACTCATTATACTTTTTTAATATTTTTGACTTACTTTGACCTCTCTAAAAAAACGAATCAATCCAGGATGGTTAACCCATGTGACGCTCTTAACTTAAAATTTTCATTTCTAGTTAATTGAATTTTAGGCTTAATAGATATTGTAGTATTTACTTTAATTTGGATAAATGTAGCCATTTTTACCATATAAATTAATATACCTTTGTTTTAATAATTGTTAAAAGGGAAAAAAAATTATGCACGTTCAAAAAATTATAAAATATATAAGAAGTTAATGCAAAATTGATGGAATTTTAGAGAAATAAAACACTAAGATAGTCTATTTTTGTTGAAATTTACGAGTTGTGGGAGTTTTATTTGACTGTCTAGTTTTTGTATCGACCAATATTTATTTGGTACCAAACTACTTTCATTGAAATGAAATAGTGAATTTTAGGAAAATTTTTTATGCTCTTTTTTGTTTTTTAAATTAATATGTCAGCAGAATTTAAATAGAAAGTATAAATGTCAACTCTGGTTTAAGTCAATGACTAAATATAATGATACAGAGGTTTAAGGTGAAAATTGATACATCTTGCAAAATGCAGGGGTTAAAATTGGTTCTTTTCCCGATTTAAAAAAATGAGACAAAATTATTGATTTACCTTTATCTCGAATTGAAATAGTTGTGAGAAATATATTGTAAGATACATATTTAATAGTTAATCCTTTTAATTTTTATGATAAGAGAAGTGTATAAAAGAATATATTTTTATGTTTTTCAAAAAGGTTAAAAAAAATTGTCAAATTTCTAATGACGACGAGAAAAAAAGAAAAAAAGACACTGTTGATATCACCGGCTAAATATTTATAATAGATTTAAAAATTCCTCAAGTTGACATAAAAAGAAATTAACTTTCACCTTTTCTGGAAAGATAAGACATGTTGAGGAGGAATGGAATAATGAAAATTAAACCCGCACTAATTTAATGGCTTAAATATTTTGGGGGTGGTTTAATTTAATCAACAAAAGGTATAAGATTGGTTTTTCTTTTTTCCCGCAGAAGAAACAGAAAATAGTCCTGAAAAGGGTGTATTCACGCATATACCCACTTGAAAAACTCACAAAAAAAGAATAGCAAATTGCATGCGACAATCGAAGATCACGATAACATTATCTTCCTAATTAATAATATCCATCCACAATGGCATATGTTCCCTATGTTTTTCTTTTTCTATGACGCAAATGGCATAAGGTTGACTCTTTATTTTCTTTTGCTATTCTCATCTCGAATTGACACATTATGCCCACTCAACCACATAAAAGCAACCCCTCTAGTAAATCATGCAGGTTTAATTTTGGAAGTATTTAGATCGATTTTGGAGGATAATGAGTATCTTATTCATTGATATATGTACACTTGGTTATAAAAAATTTCTCTTTAGTTATTAAACTCTATAAACATCGTTACCTTTTATTTAACGCTTATGTGTGATGTAGTTAAACAATTGAAACGTACAAAGTGTAGGTTATATTCATTGGGAAATTTTACAGTATTACAGTAGTATTTCTATTCACAATCTCACATCATTTAAATGATGTATTGTTTTATTATACATGATTGGGGGTGGTTCGCTCCACATAATAAAATCCAATTTCTCTTAGCCCTAAAATTAATCTAACAACATATATCTATTAGAGATTAAATTAAAAGAATTTAAAGACTTTAAAATGATGTTTTTTTTTTCTTTTGTTTAAAAATAATAGATTAAATAGACAAAACTTAAATGTAGTGAACTACGGTGACTCAGATCTGATTGTACAAACCTGGTACGGAGGCGAGCCGATTAAGTTTACAGATAAGATAAATAATAAATTTGTAGTACTACTAATTAAACTGTTTGGTAAAGAAAGCAGACACGAAACCCCAAATTTTTCAAACCCATTTTGACTGCTCGGATATTGGACAACTCCAACTTTCCACTCCATAATGTTCTGTGAAAGTTTAAAATTCTGGCCCCCACTAGTGACCAATTTGCAGGGGTAACCCATAAATTATAACAATAATAACATGCTTTTCATTCAAGGGATCTCTCAACATTACCATAGTTGGATAAAGAAATGAAAAAAAAAAATTGGAAGTTAGACAAAAGAGTATATTAAATCATTTTGCTTGCTGGGAGCAACCCATAAAAGGCCAAAAGGCAGTCTTGTAAAGTAATTGAAACCGATGGTTGAATTTTGTCTGCAAATAAGGGAAACGAGAGTGGCCAAAAGGGCTGTTTAAAAATGGGATTTTGAAATTGAAACTCACTTTCTCGGTTAAAGTTTGCAGGCGTGGAGGAGTGGAGTTGCTGTTTTTTCTTTTTTTTTTCCCCTTCAAGTTTAAGATTCATTTCTAGAAGTTTTGTCCCATGAAAATCACCTCAATATGAGTTTTCTTTTTTAAATAAAATTTCGATTTTTCACTGTTTTTTTCCATGGAAAGCAACAGCTAAAAGGCAAAAAACGTTGAACCCACTTGGCCAGAGGCCATATTCTCTCTCTTTCACTAGTATAAATACATCAGAAATGGGAGCCAATTGTGTGACAAGAAGGGAAAAAACGAGTGCTGATCCGAAGGAGTTGACAGAAATTGAAACTGCGATGGGTTCCGGCGGGTCGAACTGGACGGCGAAGCAGAACAAAGTTTTCGAGAATGCTTTAGCGGTCTACGACAAGGACACGCCGGACCGGTGGCATAACCTCGCCAGAGCGGTCGGCGGAAAGACGGCGGAGGAAGTGAAGCGCCACTACGAACGGCTCGTCGATGACGTCAACAAGATCGAGACCGGCCAAGTTCCGTTCCCCAATTACAGAAAATCCGCCCACGGACCCAGAGGATTCTGCTTTATCGACGAAGAAAAACGGTAACAAAACAACCAAACGCCGTTTTCTTTTTTCTTAAAAAAAGAAATAGCATTTTGTTTGTTTCTAATTTTAGCCAAGATTTCAAAAGTATTTAAAAGTAAACTAGTTTTAAAATTTAAATTAATTTAAGCATTTGTGGTTGTTTGAATTGATGCAGTATGAGGAGTCTACGGCTGCACTGAAGAAGCATGAATGTGTGTGGGGATGAGAGTTCCATCTCTCATAAAACTTTTTCAACTAAAAATTGCAATGTTCGACCACCAAAGTTCAATTAAATATATGAAGGCCAAATGTAGCTGGTTTTCTTCAGCCATCTTTATTATCTCTATTGTAATCTCTAGTTCTTTTCTTCTCTTTTATCATGAGTTGTTTGTTTGATATCGAATAAATACTTGTACTAATAAAAGTTTTTAATTTTACTCTACTCAATATTTACTATAGAATGCATTCTATAAATAGTTTTCCCTTTTTTTTTTTAAGTTCCAAATGGCTAATTTAAGCATGGTTTTATGGATAGATGTATCCATTGTCTTCTTTAAAAATTTGCTTACCTCTATAATGGTCCGACTTACAAAAAAAATTAAAATAATCATCGAATTAAACTCATTCATACATTTGAATAACATAGAAGATGTTATTGTACAGTTTGAAAATAAAATCTAAATCTAAATTGAATTATTTTGATTATGGTAAAATGATAGTTTGACAAATTTTTATTAAGTCGAGCTATTCAAAATTTTAAATGACATGTGGATAAATGTAATCATCCCGTCCTACTATGATTTGAGTAACAATTTTTTTTAGTTCAAATATATGTGACGTGGAAACTCAAATGTCTAACTATGGTATTAATAATATTTTAACTAATTGTGTTTAGTCTCTATTAACTCTAAAAAGTAATTATTATAAAAATGTTTAATTAAAAATTTTCATATAACACATCCCTTAAAAACTGTGTAAGTAATATTTGTATTAATTCTAGTAAAAGTGAGTTTGAGATGAATTGAAAAAAGAAAAGAAAATTTTTAATTTTAAACAAAGCTTTTAATTGCAAAATCAAATATTATAATAAAATAAAAAATACATTTTAATTAGCTAGAGCCTGGAACCAATCGAACAAAACTTACGATCAACTCAGCCAAGTCTCCAATATAATGTGGGCCGGAAATGAGAAGGCCCATTTTGACTGCAGCCCGTTTAAGAAAAGCCCACATAAAATTGTTCTAGCTAATTTCGTCCCGCCGAAAGAAGGTTATCAGCTAGAGACGCTGGTTCATCGGCTCAGAGTCGTCGTGCCCATCATCAGTTACGAGCTTCAACTTTCTACTGATCGGCGAAGCAGGGAGTTATGGAAGCTAATTCGTCTCCGTTTAAGGTATGACTTGTTTAACTCTTTCCCGCTAACACGGTTGAATTTCCTGCCCTTTTCCGACTGTAATGAAACCGAAATCTCTGGACGTAACTATCCTCTGAAGTCTGAATGATGCGTTAAGGTCCAGGAACTCTACTTCAAGCGGTTTGTTTGTTTTTTTCTTTTGCTGTGTAAATGACAGGATACTTTGAGTCTGCTTTCGTGCAATCGACATTTCGTTCGCGGGAACCTATTTAACTGATATTTACCTTTCAAAAGTAATGCTGTTTGTTGCCAGTAGATATTGATTGCTTTCTAGTGCTCCACGCAGAGTTGATTCATCTTGTTTTGTTTTTTGAATTTGCAATGACTTCCACTGTGAAAGGCAGTGAGACATTACTGAAGCTTGCGATGGTCTTCCAGTTTAGTGCATCTTAACTTTGCGTTGTCTTTGCCTAGATTTTAAATCGCCTATCTCATTGAGTATTTCTCGATTTCTGACTAAAGAATGCAGAAGGTCGTCTGTTTAGTATTTATCTGAATACCGATTACAATAATTGAAGACAACATATTGTTGGAATTGCATAATCCGGACTGAAGGAAGTTCTTGTTTGCGGCTTCGTGAGTTTAAACGTGTGCTTTTTGGCAGATAATTTTGGGATCATCTTCAGTGGCGCGTAGGAAAATATTATCTGAGATGGGTTATGAATTCACCATTATGGTATTCTCTACCTCGATGTACTTAAATGATCTGGCAACTCTCCCTTCTCACAATGTTTACCTATTGTCTCTCTCAAAATGAAGACTGCAGATATTGATGAGAAAGCCATACGCAAAGAAAAGCCTGAAGAGTTGGTTGTGGCTCTTGCAGAAGCAAAGGTTAGGTATCTTATGATACACTTGTGCTGCAACGCATTCTGTGACTGAAATATTACTCCACATGTTGTTGGTACCGTTTTATGTAAATTGCTAGTGATAGAAATGAGCACTGTTGCCAATAGAAGATTTTGGATTTAATTTTGTCATTACTTCCATGCTAACATGACAAAATTAGAGAGAAATTAGATTTTAGAAACTTCTATTTGCCACATAATATTTGTGACCTTCTAAAACTGTCTTACAGTTGATACATCATACAATGACTGCATAATAGGGATGTTATTCTACAACGATGAAGCAAATAGTGTAAAAAAACGAAAGATTTGACTAACCCTTTCAATCTAGGGTCATGGATTTCAAAGCCCAACGAGCCAGGAATAATGGACTCACAATTTCTCTTTTGCATCTGTTTTTGTTTTCTGACTTCCTTTTAAAATCTCTATATAGCATAAACTGGCTTGTGATTTTTTTTTGCTCCAGCATCTTGTATTAATTAGGTATGAATTTCATCTCAGGCTGATGCCATCATATCAAATTTACATAAAATTCATACACATGAAAAGGAAGCAGAACCAACAATTTTGATTGCTGCTGACACAGTATGTTTTCCCATGTTAGTGTTAGACGATGTTCTCACTGTTGAACAATAGGGTGCATAATGGCTTGTATCACTTGAGGCCATTTATGAATTGAGGATACAACCACAACGACTCATTTTAAGATAGGATGTGTTTCGTTGGAATTAATTCTCTCAATGTGCAACTTTTTGTTGCATTTTTTAAGATGTAACTGTTTCATTGTCAAAGCCTCTTCTTCCACTGTCATCCACAAATTCAGTAATGGATTTGGTTGTGGTAGTAGGTCACTCTGGCTTATTTCTTAGCTGATGGATATTTATTGTCAGGCAGAAGCTATCTTAGGAAGACTCTCCATTGATGATTATATCAAGGACGCACAGCCAACACTTTTGATTACTTCTGATCAAGTATATCTATCAAGTTCTTTGACATCCGTTCATTTTGATATGTTTTAAGTGATTTCTTAATTTTTCAAATTGAATCACATGAAAATGATTGTAAGCTCTACCTGACTCAGTAAGATAATAAAAGATTTGAAAGCCTGGTAGAAAGGTTGTCAATTTGATTAAGCAGCGATGCTTTCTAAACTGGCATGTTGAATCGTCCTAGTTTTCCAAACTGACTTTAGAATCTTAGACATTTCTAATATTTTAAATTATTTGCAGCTGACTAATACTACATATATATATTTTTAAATAAAAGATGATAACAAAAACTTGATTAGAATCATTTTCATATTTGACATCTATTTCTTTACTTGAATCATGCAGCCGATAATGGCAAATCCTTGATGGTTTTTCCTTGGTCTCTGTCCCCTTCACTAATAACCAGAGTAACTATCCTGACAATCCCATGTGAAATACCTGCCGCCACATGTTGCACCTGTTGTACTCATTGTACCCATTTACCTTGAGATAGATGCTATGGCAGTTTTGTTTTGTTATATTGTGTATTCTTCGACCCGTTGTGTGTCATATCCTCAAAACATAAATGGTCCTTTCGTGTATGCCATAAGGACACTTTATTGTTCTGTTGTATTTTTAGATGCTTTCTTACTTCTATTGTTAATTGATGTGGAGGTGGTGATATATGAAGGTGTCATCAGAGAAAAACCAGACAGCAAAGAGGAAGCACGGCAATTTATGAAAGGTTTGTTTATATAATAGTAATGCACTCCCATTTTTTTTCCATTTCTTAAGTTTTGTTCGCTAAAAAATTATATTGCAGATTATTCAGGAGGCCATGCTGCCACTCTTGGATCCGTACTTGTTACAAACCTTAAAACAGGATTTAGGAAAGGGGAATGGGATCAAGTAGAGGTATATATCTCTATTTTTATTTTTCTATCGGTGATCTTTTTATTTCTCGTTTAGTTGTTCATGCCTCTCTCAATCTTTTCCCTCTATAGTATTAGGGAAAAGACATTCACGTGGTTGAGACTGGTACCTTCCAATTGACTAAACCAATAAATGATATCCTAGTTTCGTAGACCTATTAACTAGTTCAACAAGGAACCGGCAGAATATAAGCTAGATACTGTTATTTTATATTGAGGGAAGGAGCTTCTTTTGCTGCTTCTGTCCGATATTGATTTTCTGATTCCTAGCAACAGAAAGATGACTTCTAGATGATTTTGGTTTTGTTTCACATCACACATCTCTTTGTTTAATTATGGTATATCTGATATTAATGTGCGCTCTTACCTTGCAGATCTATTTCCATGAAATACCCGATGAAGTCATCGACAAGCTGGTAGAGTTTTTCACTTTATGATTGGTTGTTGGTCGTGTTTTCATTAGGAAAACAAAATATTATACGTTCTGTCATCTGATTTTCCCTTTTTTCTTCTATACATTTCAGGTCGAGGAGGGGATTGTGCTCAATGTTGCCGGAGGGCTAATAATCGAGCATCCTTTGATCATACCCTATGTTAAAGAAGTGGTTAGCTTCCTTACTCCCCTTTTATTGACACATGACAATGGCCTCAAGCTTTCATTCATACATAGAATCTATCATTTTGGGAGAAGCATCCAGCTAGTGATATGGCTCCACTGCTTCTTGACTCATTTACTAGCATCATAGGTTGTGTTCCATCTGAACCTTGCGTAAAATATTCCTATACATCCTGCTAGTGGTTTGAATACCATGATGTGTACATGTCCTGTATGTACATGGTAATAGAATACGGTTTCATATGACACACCTACATGTGTATATATCGTGAAGATACCGGCGATGATTTATACGATAGTTAAATGGGTGTCTTAAAAATGCTGCACATTGCTTACTATAACCAAAAATCAGTAATATGGGTTCATTTAGTGTTTTTCCCCCATTTTTCTTTTCTTTTCTGCGTGCATCCAAGCATGCTTTACTACGAGCCACATTGGCTATGCTTGTTAATTTTATTATTTATTTATTTTTTTGTTAATGTTTTACAGTCACACGAGTTTCTTCTGTCTATATATCCTGAACATTAAGACTCTTTTCTGATAACAAGATATAGTTTACATTTGGCCAACAAATCAGTTGGGGCATCCACTAATATGCTTGTCGTTCTCGATTTCTGGTAGATGACTTACGAACTTTGGATCCCTGCAGGTGGGGACGACGGATAGTGTGATGGGACTTCCCAAGGCTCTGACTGAGAAACTTTTGAAGGAAGCTATTTAGGGGATTATATAACACATCATATTTCACTTTTGACTTATTTTCTGATCAAAATCTCTTTCCTGTCCACCAGGGAACAGACGGCCTGCCATTAACATGGCAATCAATTATTCTGGCTTCTTATGAACTAGGGTAACAATCAGCTATTATTTGTGCTAATATTATTATCTTTAAGTTTAAAACTTAAGAACTTGTTTGCAGATTCTATTTTGAACTTGGTCTCACAGTTGAGACAATATGGTTGTCACTCTATATACTAGGAGATTAAACAGTAAAAAGTATTATTTAATTTTAGAGTTCCATTAACCGTCGATAATTGAAAAACCTTGTTTTAGTTTACTTTTAATGCTTTATAAAGGTCTTTGCAACTCATGAAAACCTCTGGGTATGTTCATATTTCAACCCGTAAAAGCCAATTTGTTGTTCAAATAGTATGCTAGTGATTAAAACATAAACGAATTATGTATTTGACAAATCAATCAAATAATTAGGTAACCATTTCTTCAAGAATTTTGCATAATCTGTGCCAATATTACAAAAGATGCAACACGGGAATTGCTGGCTTCAAGGCACTAGCTATCTTATATATTGAGGGGGAAATATGCATATTTACTATTTTGCAGTGCAGTGTTGTGTTGGATGAGTTGCAAAGGGAGAACTGCATAAATAAGCTTCTTTCCAACAGGCGAGGTACCAAAGACGAACAAAATCAACAACCTTCTTATCTGAAGGAGAACTGAATTTCTTCCAGCGTTCTTCCTTTCGTCTCAGGGACCCAAAGTATAACAAATGCCATGGTGAAAGCACTCACAAGCATGTAGATGGCGAACGTCCCTGCAACGGTAGCAGTGTGAGGTTGAGGTTAGATTTATTGCTGTTCCTTTGTTGTCAAAACCATTTGAAATTTATTTAGAGAGATAGAAAGGGGAGGGGCAAACCTCCACTGCTCCATTCTAAGAGCAAGTTTGCAGTCATGGTGACCAACCAAGCAATGAACCAGTTAGCAAGCGTTGCCATGCTTCCCGCAAGACCCTTTATATTGATGGGAAGAATCTGCAACAGTTTTTTCCCCTTAGACGACAAGAATCATAATTCCAACCAACTATGCAATTCAGAATGTCATGTCGAGATGGAGATAAACATCAATCTTCTCGCCAAATATAGGTAACTGTCAGAGGCAGATACGAGGTCGAAAAAGGCCATAACAGTATATGGAAATTCTTGTATTCACTTCAAGCCTACATAGATTTTTATGTCAGTTACTAACAATTTCAAGTATGGAAGTGAAGATACCTCAGACATTATGACCCATGGAATAGCCCCAAGACCCAGAGAGAAAAAAACCACCAGTGCCTAAAGAAAAGAAATAGGTGGGTTAGCATTTCAATAAGGAAAATACTTAAAAAGAAGGCAAGTTAAAGGTAAACATACCACAACACCAGCAACTGATGACATACTCAGTACAGTGTATAAAGTGGAGGTGTCTGGGGTAAGATCCTATTTATTAAGTAGGGAACAAGTGTTAGAGAAGAAGTTATTTGCACTTAAATTATAGATTAAATTAAAAATTAAAACGTTGTTCAAATATAAATTGCAACCCCTCAAGAGATTTTACCTTCAAAATGAATACGACGGAAACAATTAAAAGGCTAAATGTCATTCCAGCTGTGGACACCTGAAACAAATTTTGTTAAAATTCCATATGTTTTGCAGACTGAGAAATGCTAATAAATGAGAAGAAAAACGTACGATAAGGAGAATTCGACGGCCTGATTTGTCAACCAACCATGTCGTCACCGCAGTGGCAATAACCTAAAAAAGACATGAAATTCCATGTCATACCAAACTGACAATAATGCACGGATTGTAATAATCTGTACAAGGCAATTCTTAAGATTTAACCTGGACTGCACCGAGCCCAAATGTAGCAACGTTACTTGATTTAACACCTGAAATTAAAAATCAGGTAATTAAATTTAACACCTGAAATTAAAAATCAGGTAATTAAATTTGGGCAACTTATAGCTTGACTTGTGCTGAAACCTATTGAATAAAAGCAAAATGTAGAACAAACCTTTTGGTGAAATTCATATAACAGTGTAGGGTTGGAAAATAAGGTCTTATCCTCTTTTATGGGCAATTATTAATTAAATTTTTAACTAGAGAAATACAACAAAACAAATATTTTGTATGCTAGACTAAAAAGCTATCAAATATTTATTGGTGGTTAGTAGAAAAATAGGTGCGCATCGATAAACACTTAAATATTGTACATTAAAATATGATTAAAATTTATTTTTGGAGATGGAAGAGGCGGGAGAGGAATATGTTTTCCATCCCCGTCCTGCTCCCCGTTTCGGCAGTTAGATTAAAAAATAAAAATCTCCATTCCTGTCCCTGGTTAAGTTGGAGGTTTACCACTAGGACTGTCGTAGAGAAAAATTGAGATCCCTATCTTCTGCACTACAGAGGATTAAATTGAACTTTATTCCTTACCGGCAGCTGCAAATATGGTACTCGAATAGAACAAAACTGCATTAATTCCAGAAAGCTGCTGGAGCATTAGTAACCCAATGCCAATCTGAAAATTTGGATGATTGTAAAGATCAATTATACTGTCAAGTTTGAAAACTAAAAGAAAATTTTCAGTCAATAGTAGTTAATACCATCAAAGGAAGCCAGTATCTTCTCCTCTTGAGTTCTGAAAACCGAATCGTCGTTCTTTTGCTTGTGGATGCTACAGACCTCTGCACCATATGCATCATCGAAGAGACATGAGAGAATTGGCGAAACCATTAATGTTTTTGGACCAGATTTGAGGACAATATTTAGTAGCTAAGTGCAAAGTAATTTATTTAATGCCCAGTTTACCTTGATTTCATTCACTTCGGTAGTGATATCAGCATCAAATCCCCGAAGAACTTGCAAGGATGTTTCAAATTCTTCCGTCATACCCATTTTCGCCTGGACTTAGTTTGAGAAAAACTCATAAACAAAATGTAAGTATGCATCATAAAGTTATCAAAAAGAAAATCTACTTGAGAAGCTCACCAGCCACCGGGGAGATTCTGGGATAAAAAACAATCCAGGTATCAAGACGGTACAAGGTAAAATTCCTGCAAGAAGAAAAAAAAGGCAACGATTAGAATGCATTTCACTTTAGAAATAAAAAAAAAAGGATTCTTGCAAGAAATTTTGATCATAACTGTTTACAAAATAGTCTTCTAAGCCATGAATTTTTAGAAAGCATTTCATAATCAGTAAATCAAACGAATCATACCAGATTCTCAAAATTAAGAAAAGGAAAACCTCAAGAGAATTACCCAGAACTGCAAGCAGTCGCCACGGTACAAAAAGTCCGAGAAGATAAGCCAGCATTATTCCAATGGTGACAGAGAGCTAACAAAAAGACATGACAGTCTTAACTTCTAGTATGGAGGACTAGAAATATTTTCTTATAAAAATTGGTAACGTTTGGTTAAAATTTCAAAGAATGTTTTTAACCAATTAATAACTACTTCTTAAAATTTTAAAAACAAATAAAAGAGCATTTAAAAGTACTTTTAGATGAAATATTTAATTACTTTTATTCTATAAATGCTTCACTTAAAAACACTTTTTTCAACGAGCATTCCAAATTCACTCGAATAAACTATCACAGAATGACAGTGACGTGAAAACAAAGGAAGACAATAGTTCTAACCAACCTGGTTAACAGAGCCGAGGCCTCCTCTTAAGTTTTGAGGAGCAATCTCAGCAATATAAACGGGAACCTACAATTATCAACAAACGTTGTACTATCAAAATTCTGTAAAAAAGAAAGTTTTAACGCAATGAATGCTCGATGTACTAACCGTATATGAGATTATTCCCACACCAAAACCTTCCAACAACCTCCCCATGTAAAGGAAAGAAGAATCCTACAAAGCGTTGGATTAGCAAAAAGAGTGAAATTGATTCCATTTCCATTACTTTGATCTATTTATTAGGATAATGATCCAACTTACTTTGGCAAATGATATAGCCAGCCACCCTATAATATTAGGAATTGCAGCAATCATCAAAGACTGCAACAAACCAAGTCAAATTAATCATGGAAACCAATACAACGTGATAATAGTTAACTAAATGGAAAATGATTCATGAAGGAATCATACTCCTTTTCGCCCAATGTATTCAGCAATCTGACCACTGGATATAGCCCCAACCATAGCACCGACATTGGACAAAGAACCGAATAAAGAGTACTGAACCAAAAATCAGATATCAAAAGACCAATGTGACGTTGTTCGAATGAGAATGGATAAGATAAGAGAAGTCATTACGAAATTCACACCTCCGGAACTGTGAGCCGAAGATCCTTCATTATAGCAGACTGAGTGGGAGATGAATAGCCACACTGCACCAAGTAATGTGAAATCATATTAAAATTTAAACCACAAGTAGCTGTGAGATCAGAAACGCAGGCTCGCCAACAGATCAAATCAAACACCAATCACCAATCACCAATATAACCAGATGAACTCAATCGATTCTCAACTCGAACTTTCTCCTCTGGAAAATTTCTACAACATTAAAGAATAAACATAAGGAAGATCGAGAAATGATGATTACGGTAAAACCAAACTGGATTGGACCGAGAGCGACGATCAAGACGCAGGCAAGAACTGAAACAGAGCTATCACGAATGGCATGCGATGAGCCAAGCATACTGGATTGCCTGGATCCCATACGGTACCAACTTCCTGTGTGCAGAAAGGGCTTCCTGAGATCCCTCCCTTCCTCATTCTCGTCCCTGAAACTCATCTCCTCCGCTCCGTTTCAAATCAAAAATGATTATTCACCTCCGTTTCCGATCAGAAATAAGAACAAATAGGTTTCGTAATCAAATGCCAATCTGTTCACCTGATTGCCAAAGAGAGAAAACGCACGCCAATCTGTTTCGATTGATTGCCAAAGAAAAGAAACGCACGAAATTTGTCGTTGCAACAGCAAAAAAGAGAGGGCGGGAGAGAGGTCACTCTGCCGTTGTCACCTGAATTTATATACTCTTACCCATGGTGGGCCCAATGAGGCCTTGCTTGCGTTATTGGGCTGTGATTGTAACGGGCTGCCTCATTGGGCCGGCCCAAGAAATCCGAGCAAGCCTGTGATTGTAACGGGCCGAGCCCACGGTGGGAAAAATATGAGTACGTGTACGTACGGCAAACGCCGACAAAGGAGCGTGAAGCAGCGGAAAAGTTGATTTCCCAGTCTGGACTCTGGAGAGGAAACCGAAAGCCAGTTGGGTTAGAGAAGTGAGGAACACAGAAGAGGAGAGAAGAGAAGAAGAAGAATAAGAATAAGAAGAAGAGCAGCGGGATTTCCTTCTTCTGATTCGCTACACCATTGCCAATCCATTTGTCTTTTCTGTAACCTAATTCAAAATCCCTAAGCTGCTCAATTTCACCAATAATTTTGAATTTCTTCCTCTTCTACCTGGGGCATCGAGTTTTCCCCTTTTTCTGATTCTCCGCCGCCGCCGTTGTTTTTCCGTCCGACTATTGGCTGTTTACCGTGTTTCGTTTCCACGGAATATTCTGAGTGAAGGGGGAAAACGCAGATTGAATCTCTTACATATGGGAGAGCAAACACAAGTGCAGGTTCAGACTCAGACCCAAAGCCAATCTCAACCGCAATCGCAGGCTCAGAACACGATTCATGACTCCTCGAATTCCACAACTTCTATCGCCCAAGCCACTGTTGCGTTGAGCGAGGTGATGAATGCGCCAACGCAAACGTCTTCTCCGCCATCCAAAATGCCCTTGCGTCCGCGGAAGATCCGAAAGCTCTCGCCCGAT